AGGGGGGGGGGGGGATCTGAAATGACCGTGGGAAAAAAAACTGTAAAATGCGGGAATGAGAACCCTCCGTAATACAGGCGGGTGGTCTTGCGCTTAATTCCAGGAGAGGTTCCGTGTCCTTATCCCAACCCATACGCCAACCATGACCCGAACCTTAACCTTAGCCCTACCCCTAACCCTAACCCTAATATTTATCCTCCCGGGATTTGCCGTAAGATTACCTGTATTGCGGGGAGGGCTTCCTAGTCCCGTGTCTATAATCAGAGCATGTGGGTCTTGGTTGTTAGCCTGCATGTCTTAATTGCTCACGCATGTACGTAGGACAAAGTGAAAAAAGACCGGAATCATTATGGCACAAACATGAAACGATGGTGTTACTGCCTACAACTATGGTACTGGCCATTATTTCGACCATGTGCCAACGAAAATGTTTGTCCGAGGCGCCAGCAAGGAAGCACGGAATTCAGAAAAAATCTGGAATTCTGGACGGAACATAGTTGGCTGTCCATCAGACAACCAATCGCTATTCCATATGGTTCATGCCAGCCGCGGACTTGCTGAATGAGGATCTAAATACTGTCTGTTTTCTGGTGCTTTTTCGCTTCGGATGATGGTCGCCTGTACGTGTCCGAAAGCTGTGATAGGTAAACTTTCCGTCCGTGATTCGAAATCTTTCTCCATCCTCTAAAAATTATCATCGTAACCTACGGTCTACACCAGGAATACATCAAACCTTCAAGGCAGCAGTGAACGCAGAGAAAGTTATAAAATTGCCCTTGTTGATGTTCAGTGAGCCCCTGTAAGCAATCAAGCTCTTCTCCTTCCGTCAACACTGCAGCGACCGAAAGCCTCTTCAGCATTTTTGTAGGGTAATTTCCTATTAACCTGCCTCCGATTCTTCCTTAATTCCTTGTAAGCGGGTAGAAGCTTACGTTTGTGTTAGCTCCTGCATTCTCTGTGGATAAAAAAAAAACTTTTCACGAATGGTTACTCTGCGCGTCACGCAAAGGATCGATGTTTGACTGCACTATTGATTAAGTTCGTGCCGCCTACATACTCAGAAAAGCATAGCTTCAGAGTACTTTGTCGAAGCAAATAATGAATCACTGACATCTGGATGACCTAAATCTCGGGACTTTGTCAACACAACAAAAGGGTCTCTAGACAACATTGTTTTATATGCCAATATCAACAGGCCAGGTACATCGCAAGTGACCATTTGAGTCTGTCTTGACTTTGCTTACGTGAAACCAGTATTAAATCTCAGATTACCCAGTTTGGCCTTGCGGAACGTCTGACTGACGGCAGCAGATAGGTCTGGAACATAACTTGCAGGCTGCCTCACTTGTAAACTAGTCTGTTACTGACTGAGCGGTGTAGTGCAGGGGTTTCGATCTGCTGCTGGAAGATGGAATGAAGTACCCATTGTAATCCCTTAGTCTGGTCTGATTTACGAACGTCCCACTCATGGGAGCTCAGTTGTGAATTTCGCAGTATAACTGAGACCTACATATCCATTGTCTATGTTTTTTCGCCATGGCTGTGGGTACAGTTGTGATATAAGTTGACAATATGACTGATATGCGGTTTGTGCGCTCTCAATCACCTTTAGTCCAATGTTCAGTCATAGAAACTGCGACTTTAAGAAGTTAAAAGTAGGTCAGTATGCAGAATCTTAATAGGAGTAATGCGTGTTCTGGAATTGTGAATACTACATGTTACAAATAACCCAGTCCTTCTGCATACTTACAATTGAAAGAATGCAAAAAAAGAAATCGATGTGCATGGCAAACTTAGAGCTCAGCCAGTAGAAAACTAGAACTAATACTCTGAAGTCGAAGGAAGCCTCTTTACGTTGCACACATCTTTCCGTTGAAATATGTCTTACCACACCTGAATAGGAGACGAGGATTACTGGAACGTTTGAATAGTCACCCTTTATCCTAGTCCCATTCCTGCTTATGTGGTGTAGAGTTCGGGTCAGTATAAGACTGAAGGAAGTCTTTCAGGGCTGTGAAAATATTCCTACAAACTGGTTCGGGGATTCAGTCCTCCATTTCTTATTTCTTAAGGGCGCAGTGGACATTAAAAGATGTATAAATGAACATCTACAAAAATCGAGTTGTCCAGTATTCAGTATCCTTTTTCTTGCAGTTTTATTTAAATCATTCGCAAAGGCTTATTTCTGCAGAATGAGGACTGCTAAGACGTTTCTGACCGACAAACTTTTAAAGTTCATTTTAGGGATCTTAGTTTATATGGTAGTAAAAAAGTATTCCTTTGGAAAATAAGGAAGCCTTGCGGATCCAGTCCTCAAAGTGCACTTCAGTTTGCAAGGGAATAATCCCTTGTAACAATTAGACTCACTCCAAAATTTGCACATCTTTGTGACAAGAGCTTAACTTTTTACTTTGCAGAAGCTCCAGAAAATGAGGATAATATTTTTTAAATAAACGTGCTAGATGACCCTTCCGCCTACTGTGAACGACGCCCAACGCATTGTGTTCAAAATTCGCGATCAATAGTTCCTACCATTTCTTGCGGTGTGGACAAGGGGAACCTACACATCTTGTCCTTGAAAAGCCCGGGCAAGCGCAGTCATTTGGTTCTTAGCCTGTATGGTTAGGTGTATCTTGAAATATTAGTTCCTATTTTGCTTGAAAACTTATGACGGATTCAGAAGGAAATGAAATTGGGAAGCTCTTCATCGGTGGTTTATCCCAGGCGACAAACAGTGAAAGCTTGCGCGTCTACTTCATGCAGTTTGGCGAACTTGAAGATGCTGTCGTTATGATGGACAATAAGACTGGCCGGTCTCGTGGCTTCGGTTATGTTAAATATAAGGACCCTGAATCCGTCAAGATTGCACTAGAAGCCAAACCACACATACTGGATGGCAAAGAGGTAGACGCCAAACAATGCAACGTAAACATGAAAGGACGAAACCGAAGAAGTCTAAAAGTATTTGTCGGAGGAATTGGACTTGATCAAGATGTGCAGTCTTTAACTGCCTTTTTTGAAAAGTTCGGACACGTTACTGACGTTAATTTAATGATGGATGCCAACAAACAAAGACACCGAGGTTTCGCATTTATTGGTTTTGATGATGAAAACGTCGTCAATCGACTTATCAACATGCACTACACAACAATGAATAATAAGCAAGTTGAGATCAAAGCGATGGAACCGCCGAACTTTGGCCGAAAAAATGCCAATTCACTGGCAAACCAAAATGATAGTGGGGACCATTATGGTAGATGTGGAGGCCCTAATACCCAGAACTCAAACTTTGTTCACATGGGAATGCACTCCTCTCACATGTCAACTTATCAAACTGGACACTTGCAGTGTGCTGCTGGGAAGGACTTGGGGAATCATTTGACGCACGGAATCGTGCCGGGTCCTACTTTTTCTGTTCCCAGCACACCCTATAGTAATAACTTTTTGAACGCCACTGATTCTGTCAACCAGATGCCACCCTACGTAAACAGAAATGGCGGAAGGCTAGTCAGTGACCAATTCTCAAATGCATCAAACAGTTTTTCTGGTAATGGGTCCTTTCTTCCGGGGAAACTCTCGGTACCCCTCATTTTCACAAATGGCTTTATTCCATTAACTTCGCCAGTCTACGGAACCTGGAATTCAACTACGATGCCTGGAGTTTCTAATACTGGATGTCAAGCCCTGGGGACAGCTTATCCATATCAAGTTCTTCAGCCACAGATTTTCCATCCAAACATAATGGCTAACAGCGAGGAGTACTGGCAGCACACAGCGCCGGCTGGGACGTGTCCTCAGCAGACCTCAGTGCAAAATATGGTGTACTCGCCGTACGTCAGCTCACCCCAGAATGGCAGCAGCCAGCAATCAATGTTGCAGTCAGTGGCAGGTTCAATGTACAGTTCGTCACTCATGCCAACTCCAGCACCTCATCGAATCTACTCTACGACCTCCACTCAGGTGAATGCAAATCAGCAACCACAGACTGCAACCGCAGCCTCGGAGACGATGAATCCAGAGGCGGGGTCCACTCAGGGCATTTCACAAGCTGACACAGAGGTCATTTCAACGCCCCTTGCTGTTTCATCTCCCGGAGGTGGTACACACGGTGTTCAGTCGCCACGCACTAGCTTCCAGTCGCCAATGAGCATGCCCTATCGCTCTGCTGTAATACCTCCTGATGGAACTTCAGCCGGCCTTTACTTTCCAGCCCTGGATCAGGGTCCTGTTGTCCAGAATTTGTGGTGTTCGCAACTGCCTGCCCTTCCAGTGCAGTACCTGCCCACCATGTGGAATATTCAACAGACAACCTCCACAGACTTCCTGAACCATCTACCGACTCAGCCAGCAAGAACAGATCAGCAGGCGAGCCAGGTCTCTAACTCACCGATGCGGCAACCAACGGAGCAGGGTAAACCTGAGCTTTCGAATGTGATGGCGAAGCCGTCGGGTGATGATCCTGATGTCTACGGCAAGGATCGGCCAGAAATGCTGGATGCCTCAGA